ATTTTACCTATTCTAGACTAAGTAACTTAAAAAGATCCATACTTTTAATTTAGTTACTTTATAATAATAAATAAAGAATAAATATAGAAAAACAAGAAATAAAGTACTTACTCAATCTTCTTTTTTCTTGCCCTCGATTGTCAAGGAGAGTTAAGCCTGATTTTTTTTTTTATGGTTATAGTAAACCACTTAATTTTTATTTAATTAAATAATACACCAAATAATATAGACTAATACCATACAAAAAGTACACAAATTCACTTCTAAAAATGTTCCTGGCTTTCTAACTATGCGACAAAAGCCGTTACAAATTCATCCAAGTTAGTCGTTAACTTTCCCACGGGAATGATGTTGCTACTCCAAGTGAAATTGACAATTATCTGTTCAGAACACAACATTATACAATACACCATTTGACAGATGAAAACCTTGACTTTCTATTGGTTATAGGTAATATATAATGAAACGTAAGAGAGAACTATCAACCAATTGTGAAAGAGAGGATGTGACAGGAGGGGGATCTGACTTTCTCTTTGATAGCTGTGTAACCAAACACAATTGAGCAATAATGATTTTACAGAGAGTATTTTACATTTTTGTGGGGTGATGGATAAGATAGGGATGATGCCATGCTAAGACAAAATGTGTCACGTGTGTTGCACTAGTGGAAATTCAGGATTTTATTTATATATTTCCTTGTAGAATTAAGAACTTAAAACTTGTATACTATTAAAATATGGAATATTAGCTGAGATGTTATGCTATTCTAATTGGTATAACATAAACAAAAAGTAGTTTAATAAAACTTTGTGTCATGCACAGTAAAGTGTACCCGGGCCGATATGGTTAATGCCTAGCCCGAGCAGTTACACAGTATACCCTAGCTGGGCAGCAGTAGTACTGATAACTGTTTTTCAAAAGTTTAACATGACTGCCTCACAGGAAACTGATGATAAAAAACATGGTACTCACTAATTTAACAGAACGGTCATATACTTCTATGAAGTCTTGTGCAAGAGGAATTTCTTCTACTTTAAATGATACTCCAGCAAAACTTAGTTGTCGAGCTATGTACATGCCCCTCTGCTTCATTTCCATAGCAACAAGCTCCATAGCTCCAACACCTCGTTTCTCGACAGCAGAAATAAAATCAGAAAAGTCGTTGAAGGTTGTTCCTTCACCCCAGATACCCAGACGAGTCATGTAAGCCATGTTTTTAGGTTCTGATGCACCTAGGAAAAAAACAAAATAATTGTTCAAGTGTTATGTATATTGTTTTCTATCAAATACACTAGAAAAAATTAGTATGCAAGCAGTTTTCATGAAAGTCAAGACATGAGGATTAAGACAACGGTACGACAATGTATGTTTTTAAATATGCACATTTTAAGATTAACATATTATGAGTGAGATTTTGGATACTAATCAATACTCCACAGAGAGCGGAATATTTTTTACCAAAATGTTAACCACTCCAGAATGCAAATAATCTAGATAACAATTAAACAAAGTTTTAGCTCGAAAATTGGATTAACCCTAATAATACAATAAAAAGCAAAATTGGCCAAGTCAAATATATAAGATTATGCAACAAATCTTCAGTCAACAGAAGTTGGAGATGTCTCCTACTTTTATACCAGACAAAACTCATAATACTGTTCCCCTCAAGCTCTAAGTAAACATACTGACATTATGCAAACTTTGCTTGCAATTACCCGTAAAGCTAATAGGTTTAATCTATAACATTATTAAACTCCATTTTTAAATTGATAAGTTGGCAGCTTTCTACATTACATTTCATTTAAACTGCTGAAAGGAATTTATTTCCATTCAATGATTTAGGAAAATTTAACTATGACATTAAAACTACAGAAATATTATGTATGTAGATTTGTCTAATTTTTACTTATGTACTGAATTATCAGTAACCACTGCATATCAAACAAATACAAAAATTAAAAATATCCAACAAAGTTGCATCAAAAAACATGCAAAAAACTATTCCAGGTCTACAGATTTCGATACCATACTCTGAAATAACCTTCAATTCAACAGTCACAGCAGAATTATTATAAATGCAGCATGTTCAAGTTCTCATAAAAAAATTCTGTTCCATGGTTATCATAATGGTGTAAATATGTCTGTTAATCTTCAATAATTTTGTTATAATTAGGTTTTAACAACTAAGATTTACCCCAATTAATAAAATGTGAGAAAATGCATCTAACATTTATAGAAATAAAATGTACATAAACTATTCCACAAAGTATTTTTACAACTTTATTAAGGTTATTTAATAATTTTTCACAAAAATACCTGTTGCACTGGCATACACAACCCGAGCCTTTGGCAAACTATTTTGTAATTCCAAAACAGTCAAGCCTGTTTTTGTTGGTTTGCTTGATCCAACAGGACACAAGTTCTTGGCCTTGTGACATTCATCAAAAACAATCTGTACTATATAGGAAATAATCTTAGTTTTCCACTCTCTTTACCTATTGAAAATAAGTTTGTTAATTTTCCCATAAACTTACAATTTTATACCTTCTAAAGTTATCTCAAGTTCCAACTGTAATTTCAAGTAAAAAAAAAAAAAGTCTTTGTTCACACAAACAAAAGTTTCCATATATATATATGTTGTAGTTATTTTACAAATTTTTTGTCTTAAAGAAATAGTATTTCATTTACATTACTACTGCACATTGTTGTTGTTTTTTTTGTATACCTCACTTTTCCTATATGTAGTAAAATTTTCAATAACCTCCTTTCTTGGTTCTGCTACCTAAATTAGTGAGACTTAATTTTTTGAATGACGTAAAAGTATTTTGCTTTGAACAGGTAACTGTGGCAGTATCCTTTGGCCAAAGACTGCCAAGCTAAAGCAGAAAGTAAACACTAATGTTTATCGTTAAAGAAAACACAAGTGATGAGATTTAAAAGGATACTACTCCATCGAAGTCTTCACCACACCAGTTTAATAACTGTTTTAATCTGGTCTTGTATTTTCCCCCAGACTGGCTCTCACCAATCAAAGACGAATATGTGGCAAAAATTACTCCTTTCTTGACACTTCCATTCACTTTGGAGGATATCTTGGCATACTTGAACTAGATATATAAAATGTAAAGTTACATTACCTTGTTTACTCTTAACGAAAACAAAAAATTGAATTTGAAACACCATCACATCCACAAAAGTGAATGATAAAGTGAAAAAAAAAAAGTCAAATTTTAGGAAAAATCTTGTTATTCCAAAGACAACTTTAAATTCTAAAGAAAACTTTTCACTACACTTATCCTTACTAAAACCTTGTGAGAATTAATAACTTAATACAATCTTGTGCAACTTGAAACTAAAAAAACAAAAAAACTTCTTAACTACAGATCAGGTTTTCGGTCTATGAAAGTTGAGAACTAGTGTCAGCCAAGGACTTTTTTTCAGTATCACATCCTTCTTAATAAGAGCTTTAGACCTGTACAATGTGTTGGTTAATATTCAAGGTAGTGATGTGTTTTTATATTGAAACTACCTGACTATCTACCACCTTCCTCTCCTCTCACAAACACTTATCCATGAGTAAAACAAAGATATGGGCATTCAGCTGAATACAGTTTTCCCTATTGTATTTCAAGATATGTGACCACCCTTTATCCAATGAGATAAAAATAACACTACTGCAAAGTGTTTTAGAACCATGGTTTGCACAAGCTAATGGAAAAAAGTAACAGAAAAGATTAAACTGTCATTTTTAAGGACCTAATAAGACTGATTTTAATAAAATGTGAAATCCACCAAGATTAAATATTTAATGCTTTATTATATTTCATAAAAAGTACACCAATAACACATACAAGAAAAAATTTTTCATAATTATTTTTGCAGTACAGGACAGTATTTTATGCCTGCTACCTACCTTAATTCCTTTCTTACAGTGACCTTTTACTTAGTAGCATTTGAAATTTACATTACAGTTCAAACTTTTATATGATCTAAGTTTTAATTCCTTCATCTCAAAAGCCTTAAAGAAAAATTCTTAAAGTTCTGTTTTATTCTCTTGTAATCCACAAGTTCACAATGTCAAATTTGGGTCTTTGTAGTTTGAACACTTCGTGGCTCACACTAACCTTCCACATATATAATGAATCTAGGTTAATTGCTCTGAAAGACAGGTTTGTAAGTCTAAAGATGTTTTTAGGATTATACCAATTTAAAGGCTGATCAGGATTTAATATGAAATTTGGTGACAGCTTTAAACTTTCTGCTAGTATATTTTTCTGTTCACTAATAGGGATATAGTGAGTAGATTTTACCTTACTTTAAACTTTAACTTCAAGTTTTATTTTACTTTGTAAAGTGAATAATGTTTTAGTAAAGAGGTTTAAACATCTGATTTTAGTTTAACATTTGGGCATTGTTATGATACTATGCCTTAACTTTAAACTTGTATTTGGTTTAACCCTTTCGAGACAGATCACAGGTGAAAGGCCATGTCATCTCATTTGTTGACTCCCTTTCAAAATTTTACTGAACTACTATTTCATGAATTTATGTCAATAAGTTTGGTATCAAACTGTAGATTATAATTCACATTTTAGTATTATATATTACTCAATTTCTTAATTTAAAAGCAAATATTTAAACAAAAAAGGATAAACATCGATTTTTGTGTGTCATGTTGAATGCAGCACTGGTTCAAATTAGATGTTTGTGAAGTCAAAACGCTAAGTCTATAATTTCGAACGAATTAGAAACAGAAATTATCAATATTGACAAGCTAGAATATAAAATTAGAGTTTCTTATCTTTTCAATTTGCTAAGATATTGCTCATGTAATAAATCAAACAGTGGTACCCCACCCACCTCCTTCCATGTTTGGAAACACTCCCTTATATGCACTTACTTCTATATATGATATGAATAACCAATTGAAAGCTCAGAATGTCCCTGTATTGGCTTTCTCAACCATTTTAACAGACTTGGTGCTATTTCTTTCATTTGAACCAAAATTTCAACGAGGTAGGGTGTGTCTTTAGCCTGCTCAAAATTTCATATTTTTGTAGACTAAAATACATCTGAGTCACTAAGCTTGATAAATTATAGTGGAATTCTATAATAATAATGTAGTAATTTATGATTTTTTAGTTATTCAAAAAAATGTGTATATATATATATATATATATATATATATATATAA